AGATAGATAGATGGATGGATGGATGGATGGATGGATGGATGGATGGATGGATGGATGGATGGATGGATGGATGGATGGATGGATGGGTGTGTGTGTAATGTGATATATTATATTTTATAATAAACATTTGTATCATACATAAATCTGTGCAGAGTGCAGATGCTTGTCTGAGGAGACAACATTTTGCATGGTTGGCATTAAAAACAATGGACATAATGACCCAAAACATAATTTTAATTACCATGTATAAGTCATTAAGCTATGTGCCCCAGAGGTTGCTGTCTCCCCAGGCTTTTATTATATTATACAGTATAACTTTAGTTTACTCACTCCCAGGCTATAAGTATTAAGTTTCATTTATGCCATTGCAAATTAAGGCCAGCTATCATAAAGATAGACCCCAAAAGACCACCTGAGTCATTTGGAGTCAGGTGATGCCTAAATCAAGTAAATTAAATTACGGTAAATCTTCCAGCTATCCATTTGTATACAGTGATTATGACTCTGAAACAAATTATTCATCTTGTGGCTATAATATTGCTTCAGAATCACCTGTTTCAAAAACATTATTGATTGATTTTGTTTTGAGAGACCCTTTTACAATAGCCAGATGAAGCAATCAACTAGTATGCTCCCTTTTTATACTCTGGGTTTTCATATTCTAACTTATGGACAAAAGCATTTGTGCTCTACCTCTGCCTCTATACTTAAATACTTTAAAGTCTTGTTCATAACTGCTTTTCTTAAATTGCTTTTGAATTGGTTTAAGATTTATCTCTTTTCTTTGCTAACATGTTATTATAGAAATAAACATAAAGAAAATTGTCTTTAAAGAAGAATTGTAAGAGCTTTCATAGAGAAGTAAAGAATTTGTGAAAGCATATTTTAGAGCTGGAAAAAGTATGTATTGTGTATATTTTAACTACCATTATTAGTATTACTTCATTCCTGTGTAGTAATTTTTTTTACATTTGCTCTGTCAATCACTTTTACCACCTATCCAGGTTTTTTTTATTTTGTTTCACAGAATAGCATAGAATTTCTTTAATTCACCCTAATATGCCATGCTATTTTGCTTGCTGAATTTGTATGTCTGTTAGAATATAATTAGCTTCAGATTTTGCACTTTTTGCATTCTGCAATAAACTTTACCCATCAAAATATGCATAAGAATGTTTTAGAAAACTATTAGGGAAATGAATTTGCAAAAAAAAAGCGTATATTAGCATAATATGACCATAGTCTGAAATTTCTCTCAAACACAGTCCCAATATATCTGGAGGTGCCACAGTCATTGGAAGAAATAAATGTTAAAATTTGAAATATCTTTATTTCAAATGCAAAAACAAACCTTGTGGGAAACACAAACAGAATCCTAATTACTTTGTCCCCTCATGGTTAAGCTTTGAAAGAACACTTCAAATTAAAAGTTTTGAGAGATGATAGAAATCTGTCAGAATTTTAGTTGATGCATAATATTATACTATTCCACAAAAAACAATCAATCAGAAGAGAACTGGAATAGCAATAGTTAGCAATAGTTAGACTTATATACCGCTTCATAGGGCTTTCAGCCCTCTCTAAGCGGTTTTACAGAGTCAGCATATTGCCCCCAACAACAGTCCGGGTCCTCATTTTACCCACCTCGGAAGGATGGAAGGCTGAGTCAACCTTGAGCCAGTGAGATTTGAACAGCCGAACTGCTGAACTGCAGTCAGCTGAAGTAGCCTGCAGTGCTGCATTTAACCACTGCGCCACCTCGGAAGGGACCTTGGAGGTCTTCTAGTCCAGCCCCCTGTTCAAGCAGGAGACCCTATACCATTTCAGACAGCTGGCTGTCCAGTCTCTTCTTTAAAACCATCAGTGATGAAGCACCCACAACTTCTGAAGGCAAAAAGTCCCACTGGTTAATTGTCCTCACTGTTAGGAAGTTTCTTCCGAATTCCAGATTGATTCTCTCCTTGATTAGTTTCCATCCATTGTTTCTTGTCCTGCCCTCTGGTGCTTTGGGGCATAAGTTGACCACAGAAGAAGGAGATGTAAGTTATTTACCACACTATTTTTATTCAACTCTATGGATTATATTGTTTTCTACATTAACTCCATTAATTATCTCCATAATCCTATCCTGATCATATATGGGTGTATTGATATATTTTATAAAAGTGGTATATAAATACGTTTTGGACCAGTGGACTACAGGTAGTCCTTGACTTACAAATTATTTTAGTGACTGTTTGAAGTTGCAATGGCACTGAAAAAAAATGTGACTTAAGACCATTTTCCACACTTGTGACCATTGCGGCATCCCCAGGATCACATGAAATTCAGCTGCTTGGCAATTGGTTCATATTTATGACAGTGTCCCAGAGTCACGTGATCACCTTGTCTGACTTTCTCACAAGCAAAGTCAATGAGGAAGCCCAATCCACTTAACAACCATGTTACTCACTTAATAACAAGAAAGGTCGTACAATGGAACAAAATTCACTTACCAACTGTGTCACTTATCAACAAAAACGTTGGGCTCAATTGTAGTTATAAGTTGAGAACTACCGGTAATGTGGAATTTTGAGAGTCTTTTGGGCCAGGAAAATGTTATTAGGTTACTCATTACAGTATTCTCGCGAAATGGTGCTTTACAAAATTTCCCTGTTGATTCCTCCAGTTCAAGCCCTGAAATGCTTATATATTAGAGCATGCATACACTGGATTTGGCATCTTTTGAGGTTGCCTTGTAACTGTGATTGAATCAAAGTGACATGGTAACTAGGTAACAATGTGCAAAGGGTGATGTTTTAATTCAATTTTTCACACTTCAGCACTCTGCTTTCCATATCACAATCTGTAAAGCTTGCCGGTGAGAACAGAAACAAAGACTATTTCAGTTTTTACTGATCAGCAAGGTCTAATAGTTTGTTATCACTGTATATTAAACAACGGAAGGGATTTTTTCCCCTCAATGGCAGATATTATACAGTACGTGTTTTCGTAGATTTTCACGGGTATAGGTATGCTGGTCTTGTTGTATTCGGGTCTTTTCCAATGTAAGATTGAGATTGTCTTGGCAACGTTTCGGCGAGGTCTCACTCACCATCTTCAGGCTGGTGTTTTCGGCTTGAAGCCGAAAAAAATGCAAGTAGAAAAATAGGAACCCACTTTGGTGGGAAGGTAACAGCCTTCCATGTGCCTTTGGTGTTTAGTCATGCCAGCCACATGACTACAGAGAAATAATTGAAGAATTGGCCAGTTGCAAGTATACCTTCTTGCAAGTATACTTGAATAACACAATTCAGAAGTCTATGGAGATTCTCAGTCATCCAGGTCCTGGTTGTAACCCAAAGGTGCTTTTTCAAAAGGCAACTGGACTTTCTTGGATTTTCCTTGAAGATGATTCGCTTCTCATCTAAGAAGCATCAGAACTGAAGAATGGATGAGAGGTGACACTTCTTCAAGGAAAAACAAAGAAAGTCCAGTTGCCTTTGAAATAGCACCTTTAAGACAGTTCAGAATAATTTACCTGTAGCAATGAGCAAGTGATGTGTCTATGCGTTGCCATTTTTCAGGTTATACAAACCTGTATTGTAGAAATCATAAACGTGTTCTTTGGAACGATGTTAAACAAAGCTATAATTATATGGTAAATGTATTAGATATTTTGCTGTATTCGCATGCTTGTTTTATAACTACAAAAAATTCAACATAAAAATTGATCTGTACTTTAAGCACGGGGATATTTTTAGTTATTTCTGATGAAGTGGCCTGGTTTTCTTGTGCTAGCTTCTCACTTTGAGAAAGGTAGACATTTTATTTGTTTATTAATTTAAAAGATGAACACTTTTGTGGAAATGGCTTGCTTTTGTAGAATACCATTTTTTCCATTGAATTTATTGCAAATAGATTGTATTCCTTATTTATCTATTGTAAAAAAGAAGAGAAACAAATTTGATGATACAAATTTGAATCTAATGGCAAAGATACAAAAAATGGCACATATAATCAGATTCTACTTCCTGAATTATTTCTGACTTTAGACTAACAAAAATCCCCTTATGTCTTGCCGCACATAAGAAAGAAGCATGGGTTGTTGTTTTTTTAGCACAAACACAGCGGTACATGGTTTCAGTGTCTTTATTTCTGTTCACTTCTCTTGTGGTTTGTTTAGAAAACCAATGGCTTAAGGGAAGATCAGCTTACAAAAAATGTAAAACTGAAATATCCAAAGGCTTCATAGCCACTTTTTGGCTGTTGCATTACAAACCACTTGCAAGTTGTGAAGATGCATTGATGGCATGTCAGCATGTCCTGTGAGCAGGGATTGGTTTCAGGATGCCAAAGCAGATGGATTGGGAAAGGGAACAAATCCATTCCAATGTATATAAAGAGAAAGAAGTTGCAGGAATGAATTGGTGAACTGGGAGAAAAGTAATAGTTCGTTTGAGTTCATAAGCCAGAGTGTGACAAGAGTTCTCCCCAGTGGGGGGAAAAACCATTTATAATGGATGCCAAATTGGAGCACATTGGAGAAAAATGCCAAATTTGCTGCTGTTTCTGAGAAACCAAAGAAGAGTTAGAAATAAATTAGCTCAGCTCCCAAAAACAGATGAGGCTTATCAAATCTGGCTTGGATCCCAGAGCTACCCATGCTACTGGTATGGAAACATTCACATAATCCCAGGGCATTTTCATTCGTCTTCTGTTTGAAAGGAAGGAATCCCTACTTAGTTGAAGCTGTTTAGGGTGCTGAAACTGGTCAGCTAGTACAATGGTTAAAATTCAGTATCATTGAAATATCTCGTAAGATAATGGATTCTCAACAAATCAAACATCAGGAGATCCTATAGAGAACAATTTCTTAATTATAATATATTTTGGTTTATGAAATTAATGTCCTAAATGTTAATAAATGTCCATTTCTTTCTAGGGACTTGGGTCACCTTTGGAGGTCAAGTTTCAGATGAGGTGAGTGATGTGTCATTTAATGGCAACCTAGAAAAACAGAACTTGAGTAATCTAGAAATAATTACATAACTTCAATGTTTCCATTAAAATTAAAAACCATGCCATGGAAGTCTGAATAAATTTAAACAGGATATGGCAAAGCATGATCATAACAACAACAGAAAATCTCATTTCTATTAATGGAATATATACTATTTCATCTCTGGTAATATAACAGCCTAGATGAGATTTGGCAAAGTTGGTCTCTGAAGAAGGTAACATCGAACTCATAGCAAGAATAAGCTTTAAAGCTGAGCAGATTTGTTCTAGGTTTTGTCCCCCCAAAAAATTCTAGAGGGCTAGTTGACAAGATTGGTGAATCTCCCCTTGCTCCTTGTCTTCTTAATGGCTTACATGCAGCCTTTTCCATTACCTCCTCTGAGCTACCATCCTTGAATTCAAGCACAGGCTGACTCACTCCTTCCTGCTCTTCCCAGAATCTTTTTTTCCTTTATTTGCAACTGCCAGTGGCCTTCCCTGATTTCCTGCTGCCCACTTCCTGAAATGCCATATCCAAGCTTAGACCAATATTGCTCGGTCATTTCCAGATAAAATATAATGTACATTTTTTCAGAGGTGGGCTGCTAGATGTTCTCCCAGGTTCGGGAAAACCCATAGCTAAAATTATGAACGGTTCTGGTTGCCCCTCCCACGCTGCCCTCCCCCCCACCCCGTCCCTCCCAGGAGTCTCCACACAGCCCATTTTGGATGCGAGATAAGTGCAGGGCCCACGCAGAGGCTCGGGGAGGGGGAAAATGGGCCTCCCAGAAGTTCCAGAAAGCCAGAAACAGGCCCATTTCCAGCCTCCGGAGCCCGGGGGAGGCAGTTTTTGCCTTCCCAGAAGCTCAGGGAAAGCCTCCGGAGCTTGGGGAAGGCGAAAATGCCCCCCCTCCCACTGTGGTGCAGGAGGCAGACTAAGCCATGGCCACCATCCCCATGCCCACCTAGCAACCGGGCAGAGAACCCATTGCTGAAATTTTTGAAGCCCACCCCTGCAATTTTTTGATCCAGACATGGGCCACCTAAAATTAGATATGCATTGTGTACATCTCTGAAGCCATGATACCAAGGCTATTGAGAGAATGAAATGTGAACCATGGAATCATGACTCTCAGCCATTACTGTTCTTAGATACCTGATCTATCACTATTACATAATAGAGCAGATTGATTTCCTACTTCTGATGACCCCCTATGATTTATATCAATAGTACTTTAAGTTATAAAGTTATACCCATTTATGTAGGTGAAATCAAGTCACATTGAGTTTAATGATTTCCTTAATGCTAATGAACATATTGTAGCGTACACTTTCATGATTGAAAAGTTATATATCATAAGAAAGCTGAATTGATAAACAGTTAATTGTTAACTTTTAGTATGCATTGCAATGTACACTGTATATCACATAAAGCGTAAATGTTGAAGATGATTAGAAGCAGTTTCAAGCTTGAGTAAGGAAACTAACCTGCTTAACTACTTGAAATTGGTGTGAACAAAGATCCCAGATCCAAAAATATGAATGTTGGTAAAAAATAGTGGCAATCTGCTTTCCTGCATCCTAAATTTGGTCCATTGTCCATAATTTAAAAATTAAGCATTAAGCTCTGAAACTATTTCATAATGAGTAATTCCTGCAGAATTTGGAAGACTCAGGACAGAGAGTTATTATATTTCTAGGATTAATTTAATGTCTCTATTTCCAAAAGGTGGCTGAGCATCTAATGACCATTGCGTATGAAAGTGGCGTGAATCTCTTTGACACAGCAGAAGTATATGCAGCTGGAAAGTACGTATCTGTGCCTCTATTCTTCCATCATAGGTAGATTTTACTTCTAAATTGAATATTATGGCTTTGCAAGTAGGCACCATATAGATCAATGACTAAACTTTAATTCACTTCTTTTTTTAAAAAATCCCACATTTAATCTAGGCCTCTTTACATAGGAGGGGGAAAACATCTGTTTGAAAACATGGGGATCTGCTGTTTGTTGGTATCAACCAGCACATGCCGGCACTGAAAGCTGCCATGCCGGAAAATATGGCTCCATGTGCCGTCTCTGGCACGCGGGCCATAAGTTCGCCATCACGGGACTAGATGCAGTGGTTGGTTCTGGATCCCTTTGCAACCAGTACAGTGCAACGGGGCCTGGCGTCAACCACATGAACACGTGTGGTGTGCACGCACACGCGTGTAGTACGTGCATGCATCCTACCCTCCAGCGATGCCTCAGCAATGCTCCAGCTGCTCAGCAGAGCATTGCACAGGCACCATATGTGCCATGCACGTGGGCGGAAGCGCCAAAGAGTTCAAATACAGGTAAGGACGATGGGCGGACGGGTGGGCCCTCTGGGGCACCGTACCAGAACGGTACCCAGTGCTCCGGGCAGTCACCAGTATACCTGTACCAGGGCATACCTCCTGCAACCCACCACTAATTAGATGGATGAGTGAATAGAATCATAGGTAGCCCTCAACTTATGACTACAGTTGGAACCATGATTTCCATTTCCATTGCCGAGAGCCGAGGTGGCGCAGTGGTTAAATGCAGCACTGCAGGCTACTTCAGCTGACTGCAGTTCTGCAGTTCGGCTGTTCAAATCTCACTGGCTCA